GACTTTATGAGGAAATGGCGGTTACAAACATGCCTGGTATTGGAAAAAATACAGTTTTCAGGGGTTGTTATGCCATGAAATAGTTGTAGGAGAGGCTGAGGAAGCTAAAAATGCCAACAACGCAAATTCCATGATTTTGAGCCGAATTTTGATTTTGGGGGTAAAAGCGACCATTTCGGAACAATTTTATCAAATCATCCCATATCAAATATATTCGATTTTTAGGCTACGATCGGGAGATGTTGGGTCGGATCGTTTGTTTGCCCTCGGAACACGACAGGCCGTAAATATCTACGGGATGCACTTTGATAAAGCAAAGCAGTGGTCAAATTGACACTGTACACTGGTCAGCGCCGCTTATCAATCAGATCCGATCTGATCTGGTCATGCACATTGGATTCATTTGACTTATTGGCGTACAAACATAACGTAGGAAGCCACAACCTTGGCCGTACAGCCAGGGTCGCGCGCAAGCTGTTACAACCGTCACGGACCACTGGACAGCACTCACTGTGACTGTGATGAAGGGTGTGATGATGTGTGTCGCCTTATCGGGTAACACACTACAAGTGGACAGAAATAATAAGATCTAATTAGCGTAGACATGCTTAGAGCACTTATGTCTCTATCTCTCTGTCTCTGTTTCTCTCCGTCTCTGTCTCTGCCTCTGTCTGTTTGTCTGTCTCTGTTTTTCTCCGTCTCTGTCTTTGTCAGTCAGTCTGTCTGTCTGTCTGTCTGTCTGTCTGTCTGTCTGTCTGTCTGTCTGTCTGTCTGTCTCAGTCAAAGTAGATGTTCGAGCCTATATCGACACCGTCTGTGTCACACCTCAGACAGGCTGCTTCGATATGTCATGGTAAATCCGAGCTGATCGGAAAGCAGTACATGTATTCCGTCAGAGAGACGCAAACACTAAATTATGATAACTCACCAACTTCGAAATCCTACTCACGTCGTTTATTGCGTACAGAGACGAAGAGCCAAACCACTGCACCACAATGCCGGTCTAGATACGAAAACCAAGTTGTAGACGTGTGAGAAAGCCAGTGGGAGGGGCAATGGGACTGCGACAGGAGAAACAGAAAAAAGAAAGACAGAAAGAAAGAAAGAAAGAAAGAAAGAAAGAAAGAAAGAAAGAAAGAAAGAAAGAAAAAAGAAAGAGAGAAAAGGAAAGAGACAGAGAGACAGAGAGAGAGATAGAACGGGGGATAAAGAGAGGGACGGGGAGATAGAGAGAGACACAAAAAGAGACAGAGAGAGTAGACAGAGAGGGAGAGAGAGAGAGAGAGAGAGAGAGAGAGAGAGAGAGAGAGAGAGAGAGAGAGAGAGAGAGAGAGAGAGAGAGGGGGGGGGAGACTGGAAAGATCCCCCAACTATTTACTACCCCACTTGTCAAAACTGATTTGTCTAGCCTGCACGAAATGCATTATAGTCATTCATTACCAAATAGTTGAACAGGCTCTACTTAGAGCCTCAAACAACTAAATCGTCAATGCCAATGTCAATTGTGTGTGTGTGAGTGTGTGTGTGTATGTGTGTGTGTGTGTGTGTGTGTGTGTGTGTATGTGTGTGTGTGTGTGTGTGTGTGTGTGTGTATGTGTGTGTGTGTGTGTGTGTGTGTGTGTGTG